TTATGATTATTGTTATGGCGCCGTTTCTTAAAAGCTTTTTGCTTAAAACGCATTTTAAATGTTAATTAAAATGTGTTTATTTCTTCAAGCAAATCATTAACAAGTTTCTGGCCGAGGTGTTTAATATTTAATTTGGGAACTCATGCCCAATATTCATTCGCCTGGGAATGCGCTGAAAAATGAGAAAGAGAAATTATAAATGAGCTTGCGACTGACACTGAAACAGAAATCAAAAATCATTTTTCAAATGGCTATGCAAATTAGCGTTTTCCATTTATTTTTTCCTTGCTCCAGCTATTCCTTTTCCCTTCCGGGTATAACAAATGAAAAATTTCATCTTTGCTGGCCGTCTGTTCCCAAAACAATTAAAAATGGCAAAAAGGATGCCGGGATAGGGATAGCCGGGCTTGGGCTCGTTCATCATGTGAAAATGCACTTCGGTGAAAATGGGAAATAGAAAAGCTGCGCCGGAAGCGGGGTTGTCTGGGGAGAAAGCGGTGGGCGGAGAGAGGCCGTGAATCACAGTTCATTAATTTCAAATGGCCTCATGCCGGTGTCAGCCGGGAAGCCTCGTCGTCCAGGTGTTGGGAAATGCATCCAGCGGTCTGGAGTTTGGGGTCTGGAGTCTGGAGCTCGGTCTGCAGCCAGAAAGCCGCCTTGGCCAACTGACAAATGAAACTTGTTTGCTCCTCCGCCGAGTCCCAAAGTGGGAGTTACACGAGTTACTGCGAGTGGGACTGCAGTCCGCAGCTAATGGTTGAAGAACAACCTCTGAGTTGTACCAGCCTCTTGAATTTTTTAAAATGGCCGCCCTGTCATTAGCGGAAGAATGATGAACATCGAATCGGAGAGTTCCCCAATGGCTGTGGGAATGAGGTACTTAACGGAACTCCATTATACGCGAAGTAATAACATTGTAATCCATTTGTATTTCATATCATATTAATTTCATGATTAAGAGAACTATAAAAACAAAGTTCTTAGTTTTCAACAGCATAAAATGATATTACGTACCCAGAATGTTTTAGAAATAAAAGATGTTTTTAAGGTGGTTAGAAAAACGCTTTCACATAGTTGTTTAAGTGCTTTAGGGAGGATTTTCTTTAGCTTGGAATAAAAAGCCTTCTACTAAAATTTTTAAATATTTCTGAAATATGTTAACCAGCTAACGGCCAGCCATTAGGTTCAATATCATCGTGCAACATCAACCGACGAGTGACAAAGCTTGATGTATGTCTGTGCAGCCGTAAGTTGTCGTCGAACCCCTTCCATCAAAAAAGTATCTTTAACCCACCCCGTCGCCAAGACACTCCGATTGGCCAGCTTCCATTACACCTACGCTTCGTCCAAATCCGCTGACACCGTCCTCCAATTGCTTACTTAATGGATCGCAAGCGCAGTTAATAACTCTCCAAGAGAAGGCAATAAAACTGTGCCAAGTTGGTAACTCCGAATCGGATTCTCGAACCGAACACGGGGGCAATTAAAGACTCGGCCGCAAAACCGTTGTTAATGACAGCCGGCGGATGGGGACAAGGGGGCAGGATCCTGTCCGCTCCAAAAGCTGACCACGTGTGACAAATTGACGCTTTTTAATTTCGCCAGCACCCACACCACTTGAAACGAGAAGTGCCACACGGATCCAAGCTCCACACCCCGGAGTCCCAAGTTTCAGCTGATTGATGACATCGTTGTTGCGGTTGTTCTCGTTGCTTTAAAAAGGTGTTTTCATTTTGCATGCGAAAACATCGACCTGATTAATTGCCTCGCACAATCGCGAGGGGTAAGAGGTTTCAGCCTGGACAGTGACTCTACACTGGCCGAAATCAGTTTTTAAGTCAATTAATGTAAAGGAGATATCTTAGATCGAAAAACAACTTGTGATTAAGACTTAAGATTAAAATGTAAATCAAATTTCTAAAGTGAAATAAAAAAACGTTTTTATTTCTTTTACATTATAATTTATAACATTTCCAAGGACAAAATGATTTTTTTTAATCATCAGAATAATTTAAAATACGAGCTTTCCCAGCTGAACTAACTTTTTCGCTCTGTGGATTTTATTTAACAAATGATGTGCATGTCTGGTGTGCAGATAAGTAGCCAGCAAAATGCAGTCGGAGCTCATAATAGAGTTGAAGTGGCGCTGGGACTGCGAGGCAACCAAATCAAAATGTTAATGACACTCTCAATACAGTTATCACGGCAAGGCTCCAGCTGGAGGAGGATTGGCTGGCTGAGGAGATGGGGATCTGGGGACCTGGCCACTTGACCGAGCCTTTTAACATTTTTGCCATACCCATCCGCGTCGCCGCTGTTAAGTTGTCATTTCCATTATGACCATGTCGCTTTAGCATTTAACAAATAGTTGAGACATTTACAAGCGGCGATAAGCGGTCTTCGTTTCTGGACGGGAATGGGAACGAGATGGGGTATGGGTATGGGCATGGGCACTCCAAATGCTCGGCGATTTGTGTTAATGTATTTATGCCCGAGAGCTAATTGATGTCGCCTTTATATGGCGGAGTTTAGTATTCATTTGGCCGGTTCAGCGTCTCCACGCCTGTCAGGCATTAATCAAAGACGGCGGCCATAGAGCCTCATAAATATATGTTACCTCCAGTCGTGGCCCACACAAAGTCCAGTCCATAATTGCCTGGCGCTTTTGACAAGCCAACACGATAATATGACAAGAGCAGTCAACGGCGCATCAGAAAAGTTATCAGGGGCCAACGAAGACACAAAGAACTGCGGACCGGACCGGATGTGGATGATGCGCTTGGTCGGCTGTGGCCACGATTATTACGGAGCCCTCGCGTTGACAGGCCGCCAAGTTCCGAGCTCCGTGAATGAAAGCCAAGAAAAATTGTAAAACGATAAAGCCCAAAGCCAAACACACTATACAATGTCGTGAGTCAGACAATGAAACCTATCGAGAACATAAATATGCATATCGAAAATGGCTTAGACAATATCAATTTGTCAGGAGATATGATATAGAGGACGGGGAGGGCAGCCGACCTCGTTGGTGGGCGTTTCCATTGTGTTACCAAATGGCCAGCAGAGCAATTTGAAATCGATTTGTCATTGAGAAGGAACAAAGTCGACCTTATGGCCTGCACAGAAAAAATAAGTTATATTTTTCTAAAATTCTTTGGCCAGTATTATTGCTAAAAAATGTTTTTCCACAACAGAAAATGTCTGTATAAAATGTTTTAGAACGTATTTTAAATATAAAATAAGCCCGGAGAATAAAATCATTCAAGATATCACAGTTACATCAAGTTATTATATTCTTTAAAAAGACAAGTACCCCTAAAAACAATAATGAAAAGGGTTCAAATTGGTAAGAATTTTATACTCCTTTCCGATTTGTTAATATGTTAAGCCAGAACTAGATAGATGTTTTTCCGAGTGCCAGCTCTTCGTCTGCTCTTCATTATAAATCATTTGCAGTGATCATTTCCGTGAACCGACTGGGACCTTTTGAGGCAATAATGCCAATGGCAATCAGCGAAAACACTTCCGATGAGATCGGCTTCGATTGCTAACCATTTATATTTATTGCAGTTCCTCGGAGATAGAAAGAGAGACTCAATACCGACAGCACGTCCGGCGTACACCTTTGCGTAATTCTCACAAAACGTTTTGTTTGAAATTGAAATTGGTTTTGTTTCGCAAGACAATTTAACCGCAAATCGAGTAAAACGATGGCCAGCCCCTTTGGGCCGACCGTTTAGGTTGATGCAGGCCAGGCCCAAAGTGAAACTCTGAGAACGGATTTGAGCGCGATTTAGCATACCCTGCAAAAAGAACGAACTACAAAATTGGACACGGCGCATCAGGCAGGCACGTTTCGTATTAAGAAAATCGCCGGGGCCGTAAAGACTCCAGGGGATCGGGTTTGGGATCGGGTGATATCCAGGTTGAACCTGCAATTGGCTTGGATGCGGCCATGATGGCTATGAAACGGCCATGTCTCGGACTTGCATTCGCATTCACAGCGAATCAATTTCAAATAGCCATCCATCGTTTGGATCATCAACAAGTCAACGTCATCATCATCGGGCCAGCGAATTGCTGATTGCCGCAAAATCATTTTTGCATTTCGACCGGCAACCAAAACTCTTTGAGCTGATGTTGATGAAAACGACTTTAAATTATTTTATTGCAATTGCAAAATTGTATTGCCCGAGTGGTTCGCTTTCAGCTCTTTCAGGCTGTGCTGCTGCCACGGCAGACTGAGTTTTGGTTTTGGCTTACAGCTTGCAGCTTACGGCTTACGGCCATGCCGCATGGCTATATCAATTTTTTGCGCTTTTTCTGTTTTATTGCTACTCCATTAAAATTGAATTGACTTTTTGTTGTTGCTGCTTCCATTGCTGGCCATTGCCGTGGAGCCTGTTATTGTTGAAAATATAATAATGGTTATTACGCTGAAACGATTGTGCGATTGTTGTTAAATTAAAAATTATTGATTATGCTGCATTCAGCCACAGAAAAATGTTGGTCCAAAAGCGACTAGCGAATATTTGAATAGGTTCTTATCGATCTTGTTTATTAGCGAACACCTATTAACGGGACGACAAATATTATATATTGAGTTATATTAACCCAATTTGTTTGCTATACAGATGAACAGGATTGAAGCTTAATTTTTTAACGAATTTAAGTTGTAAAAACTCGACAACAAATCTGATTAAATATAATTAAAAGTTCCAACTTAAATTAAAAAGTTTAATTATTGTTAGAATAGATTTATTGCGGATTTTTAAAGTTAAAATTGTTTCATTTCATAGGCTGATATACGGCAAATCACTATAGAATCAGAATATAATGTACTTCAGGTACGTTTTTTTTCTTCCAGATGTCGCTTTTAAATTGTATACTTCTACATACAGGTAAAACATAATCTAGACAAAGAAGTAAAAACACAAATATACATTTTACATGTATATGTACATTGGTTCAGCCGGACCTTTTGGCAGGACAACTTATCATTCAATATCAATTCAAAGATTTAATTGTGATCATTTGTACAGCTCTTAAAGGTATCTAACATTAAACATTCGTAAAAATTAAGTATTGTACTTTACTGGTAATCGGAAGTCGAAGTATTTTCTTATATGTTTGCAATCATGTGGACTTCAAAAGATCTCTATCACGTATTGACATATTTACAAATGTAAGTAACTTCTAGATCAAACAAAATAAAATCGGGATAAGATAAAGGAATCACAAATGATTTTCAATGGCACTGGGAAGTGTCCGAACTCTCCTCACCCAATAAATACCACATCGTCTTCATCACTAGAGGTGCTCATGGTTTGCAGTCGTCGTCGTTTATTGGCAGGTGCTGGTAGCAATTTACCTAGTCGACGCTGCTTCCGCCGCTCCTTTAAAATGCGTTCGGCTTTCTCAAGCGGACATTCGGAAACATCACGATCGATGGTTGAACTTTCATCGTCATTGATAAAGGAGCACTGCAAGTACTGCGAGGAGTCATCAGCAACTGGTTGTGAGAATATGTGGGATTCGTCGCGAAAAACTCGTGGAGGGGGCATCTTGAAGGCGCCTGGCCTTTGAATGGGGCTCCTGAAAAAAAGGTGTTATGACTTGATGAAACCAAAATAAATCAACCACTACATACTTCATGGCACGTAGATAAATGGCGTGTGCGTTGGTGTCGTTATGATCATCGTCATCGCTTGAAACTATCACAGAGTCCTTCAGATATGTCCCAATGGTGGTCTCCGCCTCCTCTTCATGGTCTGATCCGCTTTTATCAGCCTCATCCAGAATAAAGGAGTTGAACTTGCTGCGCTTATGACGAGGCTTTGGGGGAGGCGTGGGAGTTTCAGGCTATAAGGTATAATAAATAAGTAAGCTACTTGAGTAAAAGTCTGACATTTGGGTAATTACCATTTGAGTGTTGGGAATTTGCTCCCACTCATCCGACTCGCAGTCCGCCTGGGTTTCCGCAACCTGTGGCTTCTGTTCCTCCTCTTCATCGGAGCTTATGACAATCTTGCGCTTCGAAGGCCGCCGTGCAATAGGCGAATCCTCCTCCTCTTTAGCCAAAGAGATTGAAGTATTGGTTGAAGTCATCCGGTGCAGCGTTTCGGCAGCCTTAGCCAGACGACCACGTCCTCGCATACGATTCAAGTACAGATCGAAGATGCTGGGGGATTTTTCCTGAGTCAGAGGATTCGTACGCTTGCGGTTTTCTGGCGAATTAAGGCTTGCTGGTTTCGGAGGAGTGCGCGGCAAAGGCTTTGTGGCTGACTTGGCTGCCAATTTGGCGGCCAGACTTTTGCCCTGTGGCTTCCAAGGTGACAGAGAGTCGGAGTTAAAGATATCTGGGGAAACTGTACGTGAACTTTTCTCAGATGGTATAGTCAAAAGTTCTTTCTTTTCCGTTTCTATTTTTGGAGACAGCATTTCCTTCCTCTGGTTGCTCATTAGTTCCAATTCCTCGGACATTGGCTGTAGGAAATCTTTGAAGTCATCCTGCTTTTGCTGTGTCATCAACGCTACTTCCTCTGCCATCGGCTCTAGAAAATCTTTCAAATCTTCGGACAGTAGATCAAGTTCATCTTTCAATGGTTTTTCTATCCCCGGGCCATTTATTTGCTCTTTCTCTGTGTTGTATTCGTCTTTCTTTTTCTGAGAGATCAGCTCGACTTCCTCGTCCATGGGCTCTAGGAAATCATTTAAATCGATATCCAAATCATCTATAGTGGATTCTGCTTCCGTTTTCCCATCTGGAGTGGCCTTAACCTCCACCTTTGTCTCGTCCAAACTCATTGGATATATCTCGCTTTCTTCGGCAACAGGACAGACATTTTCTTCCGTTACGGATTCTACAATAGGCAGAGGCGGAGAAACTTCGGGCGCTTCAATCTTAAAAATCGATTCACTAGCGCTCATCAATGAGTTTAAGCGACCCAAATCGTCACCCAAATTGCTGGTCTCCACCCTGGAGTTGCACTCCTCTTCATTCTCCTCCTGCAGGGGTTCGAACATCAGTTTGCTCAAGGGCTTTACCCTTAGAGGCGTGGAGCTATGGGGCACTGCATCGGCGGCTGAGAAATTCAGTTGCTGGCTTAGGTACATGGACTCGCATTTAACCTCTTCTTCCCGCTCCTCCCATTCGTCCTCTGAATAGGTGGTTTCAATGTCACCCAGTTGCTCATTTACTGTGGCTTCCAGATTTCGCAACTCCAGCTTTTCCAAAAGTTCTCGCTTCAGTTCGAAATTGTCAGAGTTTAGACCTTCTTCATCTAGGCCCTCGAATATCTTATCACAGATGGCAGCGAATTCGATCTCCTTCTGCTTATCCATGGGATTCTTGAGATCCCTGAATGTTATCTCTGATTCATTATTATTATCAGCAGCTATAAGCATCTCCTCTAACTTGTCAGTTCCATCGCAAATATCCAGCAGCAGTTGATAATTGTTCCTAGTACGCTGCTGTCGGCTGTTTAGGCGATCGTCAGGAATATTCAACTCGCTTTGGATCTGCATTTTCGAGTGGGTTTCCCTGAGGAAGCTGGGATTGCTCTGCAGCAAGTAGAGCTTCAGTGGCCTGGGTAATTGCTCATCCTGCAGATGGCCTATAAGATCTTCGGAGTCCGTTAACATGGGTTTGTTCGACTGTAGGAGGCGATTGAGTTTTCGCAGGCGTTGCACGTCTTCCTGGCTGCTCGTTGGTGCTGAGCTGGCCTGAGTTTCCATGAAGAAATTCTTCAAATTCACGCTCCGTCGGATGACTTGCTGCTTCACCATTTGCTGGGATGCTTCGCTCATTTGGTAGGGCTGCAGTCCCTGCAAAATTCCCTGCTGACTCTCGGATGGGGCGCTTTCCTTGAAGTATTTCTTCAGGCTGTCCGATTTTACAGCTGGTTGCTTCCGTTTCTTGACCTCCTTCGTCTTTGGCTTGGGCTTCTCCTCAACGGTGGGCTCCATGTGCTTCTCCTCGCACTTCGGTTGAAACTGTGAGGGAACCATTCGAGGATTATGTTCGTACAGCGACAGCTTGACCACGGATGAGTTTAATAGCTTTTTGTTGATCTGATCCTTGGTAGCCAAAACATCCTTGAGTACTTGCTGCTCTCGTCCCTCGGTCACCAGCATGACCACCTCGCCGTTCTTCTTTCTGCCAGTGCGTCCAATCCTCTGAACGAATCGTGTGGGGTTGGTGCTGCACATGTCGAAGCACACGATCAACTCCACCTCGCCCACGTCTATGCCCTCCTCTCCGATTGACGTGGCCACCAGGACGTTGCTGGTTCCCGATCGAAAGTCGGCCATGATCTGCAGCTGCTGCTTCTGGGTGAGCGCGTAGCTGGCGCCCACCGTGCTGCCTTGGCCAACGAAGCAGCGCGGACGCAGCAGCGGCCTGTGTTGGAGGAGTAACCGATGGATCAGCATGACGGATTCGCGGTACTCGCAAAACACAATGGCGCGGGAATCGGCTTTCAACTGGAATACATATTTGAGAAATTGGTATATTAAATCAACTAATCAACTTACCTCAAAGTGCTGGACCAACACCTGTCGCAACTTCTCGTACTTGGCATGCCCAAAGTCGAGATCCGCGGGCAACGGTGCCACCTCTCCGTTCGTCATGGCATGCGTGGTGTAGTCCAGCGGATTGGAGCCCAGCTCCTGTCGCACCTGCTCCACCAAGTCCCTCAGATCGCGATCTCTGCTCAACACAAACTTCTCGTGCCCGTCCTCGTCGGCGTCAAAGTTGTTGACAAACACCCGAAGACCATGGCGCTCCATCAGCTCCAAAGCGTGATACATGCTGATGCACATGGCAAAGTTGCCCATTATAATGTTGTGATCCGGATGTCGCTGGCCCTGCGCGGTGTAGGTTTTCTGCGCGAAGAGCAGACTGTTCTTGCTCACGTTCCCCTTGTTCCCCTTCAGCATTTCCGCTTCTGTCAGCTGACGCAGGTAAGGTTCGATGATCTGCAGCAATCGCTCCCTCGGCTCCTTGATCCTCTCCTTCAGGGACACGACTATGGTGCGAATGGTGCGCCTGTGTATGTAGGGCTGCACATCGATCGAGGTGTCCCAGCGCACCTGCAGACTGGAGATGTACAGGTTCTGGCACACCGCCGCCACATCCTCCATGGTTCTGCCCGGCGTGGCGGACAGGGCGAGCATCCGGAAGTTCCTGTTGCGCGCCATCAGGCAGTCGGCCACCTGGGTGTAGGCATAGCGACCCTTGGCCCGGTGCGCCTCGTCCACCACCAGCAGCTTGATGGAGCCGAAGGGAAAGATGGACCCGCCATCCGCCTCCAGCATGTCGGAGTGCACCACTTGCGGAGTGGCAAAGAAGACCCGCTTGGTGGCCCACAGCTCGGTCCGTTTGGGCCGAGGCAGCTGACCTGAAAGCGAAAAGGGATTAGAAAAGATAGAGGATTATGTAGATAGAGATTCCTACCTGTAAGTTGCACCGTATCGGCCGAGGCGAAGGGCATTATCTTCTGGGAGGCTTGGATCTGCTGCGACACCAGCGGCCTGGTGGGGGCCATGAAAACGATCTTCCCCTGGGGATACCAACGGTAGAAGTTGTACATTAGCACCGCCGCAATAAAGGTCTTTCCCAGTCCCGTGGGAAGCACCACCAGGGTGTTTTTGAATAGCGCCGACTGGACGATGGTTTGTTGGTAGGATCGCAGGGGCAGGTTGTTCGGGTAGATCCAGTTGTGCCCGGTGGCCACATCGAATCCCTCGCAGGCTTCATCGGAAAGTTCCGGCCGTGGATTCCCTCCCGTTGCATTGTGGTCCTGAAAATAGGGAATGGAGAATTGTGAGGGGCTTCTTGTGTTCGGGGTAATTCACGTAAATACCTCGGTTTCCTGCTGTTCGTGGACCGCCAAGGCCGCCGCCAGTTCTTCGTCGTCATCGATCCAATCTACGTCCATGATAACACTAATCTTACGATCGCAAACAGGCGATTAGCATTTTGATTGGAAGGCCTTGACAAATCATAAGACTGATCCATGCATTAAATTGCTGACAATTTGTATATGGACATCGATATGGTATGGATGGGACAGGATTGGATAGGTTTATTTATATCGATTAAATACACAATTTTAACCATCTGATTTCGAAAATGAGAGAGATCTATAAACAATAAACAAATCAAAACAAAAATAAGACCGCGCAATATGGTCTAAAAAATACTTGTCCTACCATTCTTACTTTTTTAAAATACCAAATAGCGATCGCGCTGAAAAATAATATCGGTTACAACTATCGGCGTTCCCACATCACTAATATTAAAGTGTGTCCTCGCTAACTTAGCCGCGTCCCCCACCGCAGTATACTGAAATAATACCAAAAATGTACCGCAAGTTGGCCGAAAGCCATTCAGATGGCGCCACTGTGTTAACGGTTATCGGGTGGCATCCCTGTCCTATATTTAAATTCAAATAAAAGGCCGCCATTTCCAAGCGTCGAAAATTAAATACCTTTATTTTGTGAAATGAAGTTGGAATATATGTATTGGATATATTTATATTAGAAAGAAAAACAAAGTACAGTTAATATTAATACCTTTTTATACAAACAACTTCGGGCTTATAATAATTTGTTGAAATCTTTAAGCAAAGAAACCTCACAACTTGCCCGGAAACGGATTTATGACAGCGTGCCCAAGTCAAGCCCCATTAAATGTCGCCAGTTCCTAATTGGGCGAATACACTGCGTGTTTTGAGATTGCCCGAGCACTTTTTGCGATACTTCTGCCGTAGATGTTCTGATTGTCTTTAATTAGGCGCTTCCAACGAATGCAGGTCCGTCAGTTTTCCTGAGTGCTCGAACAGCAAAAAAATTTAAAGGTTGACAATACTAGGAGTAATAATTAAATTATTAAAATAAAAACCCATTTCAGAATATTAATTTTCAAAAGTATAATGGATAATGAATATTCAAATCATGGGAATTTTGTAGAAGATCCTTTCATTTCTTAAATTATTTTAACGCCTTATGCATTAAATATGAAAGATTGAATAATAGTAATATTCACCAATTTTAATTCAGAATCTGTCTATTAAACTTAGCCCTCTTTATTCGACAAGTTTATTGAACTCCATGTCTTATTCCTCATGGTGAACCCACCCTTGAGCTCAGATTTGATTCGAGCAATCCTTGCTGCTGATGAGGGAAAATGATAATTAGCAGTCGCACACACTGGGCCGAGTTTTATGGAAAAACGTCCGTAAATAGGCAATCTCATTTAAAAATCTCCACCTAATGAGCAATGACCATGAGTGGGGTAAACAGAAACTGAAAGGGGTGGTACGGGCAGGGCAGGGGGTATCCCGCACCCACGGAAAACGAAAAGCACCAGAGAACGCTCCAAAATGTAATTATATCGCATTATTTGTCATTCCGAGCAAATGAATTGAAACAAATTTAGTGTGACAAATGAATTGTTCACTTACATGGGCGTACGTGTGTTTGCCCCCCTTTGGCAGCCACTGTGAGCTGGGACAAAAATACACACGGCTACACGAGACACACTCAATTTGCTGGCTCTCTAGTCAATTTCATTTCATTTGCATGAAGTTCTCCCTTCTCTGTTCGGTTCGGGCCTCTCTCCTCATATAGACGGTATGGTATGGTATTATTTCTGGGTGTGCGCGCTATCTGTGGGATATCTGTGGGCCATGGGCATTATGCCTTTTGCCTAATTCAGCTTTATGAGCCATGTCTAATTACCAAATGAATTGTGCAATTATTTATTTTTGTTTATTAATTGGCTGCCGCTCTAATGAGCCTAATGACCAGATATCCGAGAGTAGATATGCACTCACATACGTGTATCCTACATGCACTCGAGATGAGTCAGAGATTATTGCGATTGCCTGCCCGACAGGGCCAACATAAATGTCATGACTTATGTGGCTCCGATGCGATGCGATGCGGTTGCCATCCCTTTTCGACTTATCGACTTATCTGCGACGACGCCAAGTCGCCAAGTTACGAGTATTTGCGGTTGGCATCATAACGAGCACTTTCCATACAAAGTTGCTGGAGCGGAAGCAGCCAGCATGGAAAACGAGGCCAGAAAGGGCGCAGACCCATTTATGCAAAGTGCTTTCGGTTGGAGGAGGGGTCTTCACTCCAAAAAAAAGTATTAAAAAAGCATGTAAAATAATCATGCTCAAGAAAAAAATAAAATTGTATAATAAACATTTAAAATGGAATAGAGAATAATTAAATAATTGGCATCTTTGCACGTAATAACCATTTTTAAAACTTTTATTATATATAAGAATTCCACAGGCTAATTAAATAATTTACAGAAATTGCCAATTCAAAACTAATAATTTTTTTCAAGTTATACATAAGATAGTTACTTCTTCTGTGGCCCTTGAAGGATGCATATGCATCTACGGCTCGTAAATGAGCTATACCTCTGCGGCCTGTGCAACTCATTAGCACTTATTAAAACTAAGTGCTGGGGACCTCGGGCGGAAATGGAAATGGGCCTGGATTTGTGGTGCCCGTGGCGATGGCTTGGCGACAGCTGCACCAGTTGGTAATGGTAATCAACGTTTCAGCAATTGTCTGCCGCAGTTGCAGTTGCATTCAAAGTTGCATTCGAAGTTGCAATTGGGGCTGCAGTGGCATTTCACCGGTTGCCAGGTCCCAGAACTCAGCGGCGCGTGTCGCCAGCATACAAACAAACCAACAAACAAACAAATAAAGAGACAAACAAATGCAGCTCAAAATGGCTGCCAATTATCTGGGCTGCCATATTTGTTTCCCCGGTTGTTGCCGGGCAATAAAACATTTCGTTTATTAGCCACCACCCGAAGGTATTCTAAGTGGAAATTTTGCTTGGGGAACACGGAAAGAAATATGTTATTATACAAACTCAAGAAATCGAGTTAAAAGGAGAATGGCTCTAAAAAATAATCCAGGGGTTCGAAATGGAAATATGATTTTTTTTTGGTAAGAACTGTAAATACCAATTAAATTAGATATTTTTTGAGATTTTTGTTTATTTTGTTTACCAATTTGGTGGATTTTTTATCACTTCGTAGCCAAAAGAAAATCAAAAATATTTTACTAAAATACAATTTTTTCATTAAAGGTTTTTTTTATTTATTGTAATTTACCATAGTATAAATTTAAAATAAAAATGTGTAAGCTGTGGTTGTTCTACTCACAAGAATAATATAAATTTAATTAATCTCTCATGACAATTTTGGCGATTTAAAAATGAACGTTGCATATAATATTTTTCCCCGTGCTTAGATTCGCAGTTTCGCATTAGCTGAAATTGCCAAAAATTGCAGCAAAACCTTTGATTAGCTCGTGTCTGCGGGCAGTTAGTTGAGTTTGTTTGAACAGCACCTGCAGGATCAGAATCTCCCGGGTTCGGGACTCATCAGGACACGCCCATGCCGAGCCACGAACACTTCACACTTTCACAGGCCAGAACAAAAGGATGCGCCGTTGTGAGTCAACGAAATTAAATAACAAATTGGTCAACACAATTTCATTATAAAGGCAATAGCCCTAATGGTCTCCATCGCAACCCTTCGCTTCATCAGATTACGGGGCAGCTGCAGGCGCCTCTGCCCATTCGATGCTCGAATCGATTAACCCCAGCCCGACCAATCCTTTTGCATACGTGCCGCACCTGTTGTCATGGGTTAATCGGGCCGCTCTTCTAAGTGCTGACTGCCATGCGATCGGCTGGGCCATCGGATCGCCATCGCTTGATGGCTATCGACTCTAATGGCGTCCAGGGCATTAAATCGCCCGATGGCTTTGATGGGCCACTAAGGGAAAGTCCTTTGGCCCGAGGAGAGTGTGTGCCCTGGAAATTGGACACGGCCAACAGGATATGCTTATGCGGCGAGAGCACGCATCCTCGATCCGGATCGTTGGTCGGTAGGTGTGAACTCCCAAAAACTGTGGCGTTGCATAATTATGTGCAATTTGTACCGACTGCACTGCCAGGGGTCCTTCGGAGTCCTTCCTAGAAGGTCTGGCTACCGAGTTGCCTGCTGGGATCGCAGTGATCAATGAATGGAAGCCGCCTGTTTGCTCGTCTAATGTGCGTGGGTGTGGCTGGGTTGGCAGCTGGCCAAAAAGTACACAAAGAACGGGCCAAGACGCACGAGTTACAAGTGCATTTATTGTCGAGAATGAAATTAATTAAATTGAATTTATATGAACAAAATTAAAATGCAATTTAGGCACACAAATTAACCGAAATTAATGTATTTAGTACTATTAGCAGGTTAATATTAATATGATGTTCCCAAGTTACATTCTTCTGATAAACTACAAACTTAAAAGACATACCCTGCAGGAAACGGAATCAGTTTTGGACTATTAAAATACTAGTTGGGTCAAGAAGGTTAACTAGTTCAAGTTATGTCCATTTCCTTGTAACGAAGTGGTCCATTTTTCATATGCTTGTCGTCGGAAACAACTAGTCAATTTGCTACTAGTTTTGCACTAGTGACTGTTAACCAATTTATAGTTACAGCTGTTAAACTACACTCAAAAAAATATTTTCACGAAAAAATTAAAAATAATCTCTAAACCATCAAGTGATTGAATTGCACTAGTACTTGACGACGCCTAACTTGACGCTCTCCTAATTTAGTATCCAATCAATAGGCGCGGACCTTAGAGAATTTCTGATAATTATTATGTAATCAAATACAGTAAATCATAATTAAATAGAATTAAAACAAACTTACTTTTTTTGAGGCAAGTCGCCCTCTCTAGGACTTGAGCCCCGGACCTTTGGATTTGTAGACACACTAACTGATTGAGCCATACACGCATCACATTTTGTAATGCCCTAACAAGGTTTATGAACTTTAGTGTGACATAATTCAAAAACAGTGATTTTTCACATATATATTGCCTCGGACAGATTAAACAAAGTTTAAAATAAAACTAAAGCATCA